CAAACCATCCGGCTCAACAATAAAATCCCTTTCTGAGCATACCTTTGACTTCACTGAACCGGTGAAATGCTGCAATGAGAGGTTCCATAGCTCTTGCGAGCATGAAGGCTTCAGTTAAGGATAATAACTCGGCTTCTGCAGTACTTGCTGCTGCAAATGGCTGTCTTCCTCCGCACCATGAAACGAGGCTTCCCGCCCACCTGGGGGGGGGCAAATGAGGCATCGCTTATAGACTCGAGCATAGCTGTACCTCGATTCCATGTAAGCTCCTCCCACTTTCCAAAATTATCAGGGGCGACATCGTACTTCAGGCCTACCTTAGATGACCACCTAAAATATCTAATAACCACTTCAGCCCTTCGACACGCTTCTGACGGGTTGGAAGTGAGAAGTTGGCAAATCACCGTCGTGGCGTACTGCAGGTCTGGTCTAATACGACCAACTAACCACTGAAGCTCTCCAGCTGCTGTCTGAGCAAACTTGAGATACTTTTTGATAGCTTCAGGATCCTCTGGTGACTCAGGCCACGGGACGTTCAAGGCAGGTTGGAACTCTTTGATTCTTTGTCATTTTCGCGTGAACAATTCCAGCATTTGTGTTGCGAACTTAAAGGTTTGGAACAGCTTCAACCCAAGCAGTCTCGTAAACAGAAGCTTGCCACTAGTTCCGCGATGAGCTGCTAGTCCCTTCGCTGAAGTTGGGGTCTTTGGGCCCAGCAACTCATTTGGCGTTGCTTTGCACAGCACAGGTACCTTCCAAGGTCAAGCATGAGGTTGGGACAAAAAGTTGAGTCGTTCCACCATGCAAAAAGAAGGGGGCCTCTGCAGTTTGTGCTCTTGGCTTTGTCTTGTGAACCGAGTGTTGTAAATTAAGGTTTTGCAGTTCTTAAATTTGTTTTTTCCAAACATCCATCTATGGCTCAAGTGCTCGAACAAGAATGGTTTTTGCAGAAAAAGAAAAATGCACTGCCACACGTCGCACGACCAAATCCGGACCTGATGTTTCCCAAGTGTCTGTTGGTAAAGGCTAGTAAAAAGAGAAAGTTCAAAAGTTGAAAACTCGTTCAGTCTCAACTCGGTGTGGTAAAATCCACGTGGCGTTTGCTACGAATTACAAGCTCAACAGAAAATTGTTTACCAAAAAAGCGAATTAATAAGCCCAATTTTTGAATCACAGCACAGTCTTCCATTGGAAAATTTGTTTCCCTCTCCCCCTCCATTGCCACCAGCGTGCAATAAGTACAGTGCAAGAAACCGTGGTAGTTGCTCATGGAGAAAATGGCGAGGCTGGCAGGACATGTCATCACAGCAATCGGGAATGATCCATCACAGCATATAACAGTGAGCTATGCACCAGTAGGCGAACAAGGGGATCTCGCCAGCAATGGTTGGAATCAACGAATTCAGCGGGACAATGTCGCGCAACATTCCCGTAGCTTTATTCGTTCTGCGAGCCCAGGCCAGCAAAGCGCGCAAAACCCCAAATAACCGTTATCTTAAATTTCGAAGACTGTTACCCACGTTCTAAAGGTTTCACCCTGAAAGCACAGTTCAAAGCATCGGACTATGATTCGGAAACGGAGGGTGCCTAAAACAAGAAGGTGGCTCAGGTGATCTATTGGAATGGTTGATGCATTGTGATGCTGGCATATTGTTTTTGAACTCCGTGTTTTGTGTGAATATTTTTTCGACCATTTTATTCGCATGCTTGGTTCCGGAAATGTTAGTATCATTGTGCATGTACATTTGAAACTGAGATGAAATCCTTCAGCTCATCAGAATTTTGGACACGTATGATACCAAATATTTGGAAAACGCCTCTCAACAGTTTTTGGGGTGGTGTCGTCGCATTGTGCGCGCGGCAATGGGTGTTACCGATATGCAGGTAGCTTGCTTCTTGCCTTATGCCCCGTTCCGGATGCTTTCAATCTACTTGGTCTGTTGAAGTTCCCGGGTCCATTCACACAAGATTTGCACAAGATTTTCGCAAGGTCTTTGCTCAAGGTTGAACATTTGGCACAGCGAAAATTAAACAGTTGGCGGGTGGACTTGCAAACAGCAATGAAATCAGGTTAGGGTTAATCAAACACAGAACATCGATTACCGAATTTCGTTCTCAGTCAGTCTAAGAGGTTCAGCTTCAAATTTGCAACACAAAATCTGACTTCGAGATGCGTGATGTGGAGGGAGAGTGTAGGTCAGTTTATTGCCACATTGGCCGCACGCATGCCCCAGCCATCAAGTTTCGAAGCTACAAGGTTGACGCTGTATTGGTATTGGGCCTGCGTTACTTGCGTTGTTCCGACGGGGATTCCACGGACGTGCAAACTGTTTTAGAGCGTAAAAGTCAAGGAGAATGTGTGTGCATGAAACATGAACTGATATTGACCGGTTGGTGTAAGAATGTTCGGCAGAAGAAATGGCGGGCATGTCATCTGTGAAAACTGCTCGTGGGCCCCTGTCTTTTGCATGTTCGAAAGGCTGCCTGATCAACCCTGGGTTTCTACCTCGATTGCTGAGCATCCACGGAATTGGTGGTGGTCTTTTGGGTTTTATTGTTTGAGGCAGCCATCTTATTGGCAGAGGCAAAGAGATTTAGCGGGCCTAACTTCGTGTCCATAGCTAAAAGGCGTTGCGCGGCTGTTTGAACATTCGGCTCAAGACGAGGTCTCGGCTCCAGGCAGGGGTCGATCCTTGTCATGGTATACGCCCGCGAGGAATTCCCTACAGTCTGCTTCATTTTGATTGGCCCCGCTTGTAGTGATGCTGCAGGATGTTGAGAACGTCCTGGCCGCGCGGGGATGGAGGGAGGTAAGGCAGATAGGCGCGGCCTGATAAGGCAGATTTCTTCGAAAGACTGAATCCACGAGCCTGTTTTGAGGAGAAGGTTCCTTTGCTAAAGCTCTTTTGGTTGAAGCGGCGGACGGGACACAGGCGGTATGCAAGGCAGAGCAGTGTTTCGCTTGAGAGAATTGAGGAAGTGTGCATGGAGCATGCAGCTTTAGTTTAGGTCATGGACATTACCCAGGCATCCAAGAAGGAGGTGCCAGTTTTGCAGCCAGTGCTTTGCAGGGACAATTCTTTGTTTGTGAGGCCGAGGCTGCTGCCAAGGCTGTGGAAACATCACAACGTGGCAAGATGTTGGCAACATGTTGTTGAATGTCTTCCCTGCTTGAAAGGAAGGCCGGCTCCTTGCATCTTTGCGGCATCCTTTCGTGGTCCGCTACCGCGACAGCTTCTGCGAGGTACATTCTAGTAGCAACGGCAGCCTTGGTGCATGACACTCGTTACAAGGCTGGTGTGCTATGCATCATCATGGACTTCTGCGAAGGCAGGTCTTTATGCCATGGGTCTCCGGTTTCCGATAAGAAGCAAGGGGCAAATCCCAGGCGGAGAGCTTGCCAGACAAATCCGAAGGGCAAGACGCAATCATCAGAGGCACGCCTGGTTTTGCATCATCTGCAGGTTTTCGAGTCATAGTGAGACTTGCAGAGACAAGCTGGTGCGCACTGAATGCAAGTGCAAGTAGAACTACTGGGGAGGGAAAAAGTTAAAGGGAATTTGAGTCATGTTACTTTGCCAGGCAGAGAGTTTTGTTTGCATATGAACTTTTACGAGTGTGATGTGCAAGAGATTTTTTTCTGTTGGTGCAGTGAGGATCCCAGAGGAGCAGATCCTTCGGTGGTTCACGCAGGCTCCAAAGCGAGGGTTCAGCCGCTTGTGGTTTTCGCACAGCTTACAAAGGCAACGCTTGCCGTGAAGTTCATCCACGACAAGCACATCCTTCACAGGGCCATGTGTGCAATTGCTTAACATGTTTGGGCATTTTGGATCGAAACAGGATTTAAAGCCTGCCAACTTCTTCCTCACAAAGAACGGGCCGGCGCCTCAGCGAGGACGTGTTCAAGTGAAAGAGGATAAGGACGATTAGACAAGGTTTGGGTGCCTGCCTTTCGCAGGTCTTTGAAAATGGGAGACTTTGGGATAGCAAAGACAATGGTCAATGGACTCAGACGTCTTGACCGTGATGCTTGGCTATTCCCAACATGTAGTTTGTTTGAGCTTGCAGGCTTGCACACTAGCATGTGCAAAGACCAGGATTGGCTTTTCACTCAGTGTTTGTTGTCAAGAATGCTCAGAGTGTTCCCACCTCCACTGAGGCACGCCATATTATTTGAGTCCAGAAGTATGCCAGGAAGCATGGCAGATGTCTGCAGAGCACGTTGCTCAGGAGATCCATGGATTGCACAGCATTCAAAGTGCAGGAAAAGCCGTACAACTGGTCATCAGACATGTGGTCAATGGGTCGGGGTCTCAAACTTGCTCCTTGTTTTGGGTTCCATGCACGTCAGCGCACAGGTTGCATTCTGTATGAGATGTGCGCTTTGTCGGCGCCCTACAGTCTTGAACTGCACGTATCTTCCGAATCGTGGGTAATCGGGCAGCCAGTGAGCCTCAGCATGGGCATGAAATTCCAGCAATGCTGGAAGGCGGTGTACATCAAAAACTGACAAGGATGCCATGCAGAGCATAAGTCAGCCACAATGCCACGATGCGCTTATTTGGGTATCCAATCCCAAACACACAACACAGTCAGGAGTTTCTGCCTGTTCTGAGGCAGGTGCCCTTCGACGCGCACAGTATTTCGGGCTTGGTGCAGAAGATCTGCTACGGCCCACTGCCGGTGGCTGCTGGGTCTGCGATGGTTTGCACAGCTCGCTGCTGCTATCTCGTGTCCACAGCTAGGGCTTGGGGGTTTCGCAAGGTTCCAGACTGCTACTCCGACTTTCTTCGGCGGCAGCTGGCCTGAGAAGCTGTGATTGGAGGGCACCAAACGTGAAGCAAAACGACAGAGGCTGTGCCGACAACTTCTGGATCGGGAGCCAAAGAAGAGACCCTCCGCAGACGAGGCAGCGTGCCTTCTTTCTCCTCAGGTGTGAGAGCATGCGATTCTGGGATGTTTGGAGACGGTGCTGGCTGGACTTGTTGCAGCATGTTGCAGCCGTATTAGTAGACGGTCAGAAGCAAGACAGCAAGGTTAGTGGAAAAGAGCCGTTATACTTCTCACCGGCAAATTGAAATCTGCAGAATTGGCCTTGAATCAGTTTACTGTTAACATGCTGCGACGCGATGTTCCTCTTCGCAAGGACCTTTGAGATGTTCCCTGCAGGCCTGAATTGGGTTAGTTTGTCTGCTTGCAGGAGATCTCCCGCTTAGTGCTTGGGACGGCGCTCGTCCTGCTCGGCGTGATATCAGGAGCTGGAGGTCGAACGGATTTCGGTTTGCTGTAGGCTGCATGGCTCCCCTATCCGCAGGAGGCAACGAAGATATGCATCGCCCTGACCTCGGCGCCTCTGCTGCCCTCGGCTTCACACGCGACATCCTTGGAAGGCGAAACCTTTGCCCAAGTGCAGCGGCGGGCTGCAGCGGCTACCGTGGTGGCTTGGTGCATTGGCAAAGCTCCGAGAAGCCCTTCCCAAAACCTTCTTTTGCGCAGATCGCCAGCCTGAGCCTTCCCTGGCCAGCGCAAGCTGGCGTGCCCTTGGTATCCTTCACTTCTGGCGGCTGGGTTGAGTACACAGTCGGAGGAGCTTTTCAGGATCCATGGCAGCGATTGAGTTTGTCTTGAAGCCAGCATCCGGAATCATGCTGAAAAGAACTCCAGCATTTATGAGCAGCCCCAACTTCGACAAGCAAGGTACTGGGTAGTTAAAGGAAAAGCTCAATTGCGGTTAATGCAGCTGCACGTACTGTTCAGATTCGTTTAGATGCAGGGTATCAGAATTTAAGGTTTCCATGCCGGACAACTACAAAGTTCCGAGCTTAGCTGGCTGGCTGTGGTGCAAATCCATGGACTGCTCAGACGCTGCGCCAGTTGGGGCAGGTTCTTGAAGAGACTGCTACACGAACCGTCTGGCAAGGTGACAGGCGTGCAGCATCCAGCAATTGAACAGTCAGGCATGAGCATAGCTGTTGAGAGCTTTCCTGAGAAGGATGCTCATTGGCAGGACAGGCCAGTACAACACCATGTCTGCGGAAGTGATCGAGGTAGATGCGGACACCTTGGAGAAAGCTCTTGGAATGGAAGGCATGGGCATCAAAGACATTGGCGAGAAGCCGCTCGACAAATGTGTAAGTTGTTAAGTCAAGTGGTAAAAAACGGTATCCAACCGGTTGCCTCTGCCAAGGCTGTCAGACAAGAGACCATTGGGTGGCGCAGACTTCTACGGCGTGTCTTGAAAGAACATCGATTCAGGGCCTCATTTTGGAGTTCTGCAGGTTCCCGTTCATGCGCTACCAGCAAGGTGGAGCAGCTCGAAGGTATGGAGGCCTATCGTTTTGAATTTGTTGGCGACTCCATCCACGAGCGCCTCAACTGCTCAACTGATCTTCACAAGGTCGTAGGAGTTGGTACTGGGTGTATGTCCAATATATGTAAGTGAACGCTGTCTGCCAAGGTATGTTATGCATGCACTGGTGCGGAAGGCCTCGACCAACCTACTGTGCACGGTCACCACTCGTGCTGCAGGCAAGGTCATTCGACACAGGAGTGCCAAGTGATATGCAGCAATCTCCGTGTGGTGACTGGCTCTTGGTCAAGGATGTAGGGGAATTTTGGGGAAGCGGTGTCCGCCTGCAGGGCTGCTGTGGAGCAACAACGACCGCTTCCAGACCTTTGCCAAGATCATCGCAAGCTTCAAGCCCAAAGCATCTCGTCTGAGTGCTCGCAGTGAGCTCTTGTCTGTACTTCAGGCCTGCATACAAGTCAGCAAGCTCCTTGCAGGTGTGACTTGTTCCCCAAGCTGGCGAAGATTGGTTAGTGATCTCGATGGAATATTTTAAAATTTCTTGGCGCATGCATGGAAGTGCCAGCAGCTCCAGTGGAAAAATGAGAGTCATCGCTTGCAAGCTTCAAATTGGAGTTTGTAACGGCACTCATCCATTGGATTCCGTGTTGATCCCTGGGAGGTATTGCAAGTGAGACCTAAATTGACTTGCTTATCCAGCCCGTGCGTTCCATGTCAGCTCGTGTGTTGCTGTGCAGGTCCTGCAACTTCCCGAAATCCAAAGGGTGGTGCGGCAGATGCTTGAAGAGGTGTGGACCTTGCAGCAGTCATTAGACAGAAACAGCTAGGACCCAGCTGGGAGAAGTGTTGCACGAGGTTAGAAGTCTTCAGCGGGAGGTGCCTCCTGCTCCTGCGTGTATGGCCTTGCAATCACAACTATGGCATCGGTGATGAGAAAAGCACCATTTTGCACGTAGGAGCAGGCAGCTAAAGGGACAGCTGCTTCTGCGGCCGGCACCTTCAGGTCGGCCGGCATGTTGTGCCCCTGCGAGTTGCTGTCTACCCCGCATCGGCAGGAAAGATGACCTTGTAGAGTACTATTCAGTCACTCATGGCGCCGGGGCCTTGGATTCCGGCTATGCAACAGATGAAGGCAAAACTGGCTGGCTATTGGGGTCTTGATGCCATCTAAGTATCCTGCGGCTGCAGGAATGGCTCCCTGCTATAGTGGTGGATGCGGACGCACTCGGCCGAGTGATGATTGACTTACGACCGGGGGTGTGGCTCTCATCTGTCCCAGCCTCAAGCAACCCTGACAGAATGCTTTGTGCAGTCGCTGTCTTTTGCAGGAAGTGGAGAAGGCAGCAGATTTGCTTTGAAGATGTCGCCCATTTGGGATCTGCAGGATGTGCAGGCGAGCAAAATGCGACCGAGACGACAAGAAGGCCATGTTTACAGCAGCATTCTCAAAGTATATAAGGCCGCTCTTGTCGAAGTGTCCCTAGACATTTCCATTTACTTTGAAGGCTCCAGCGACAGCTCTGGAAGCGAGGCAACACGGTGCGAGGCTTAGAGGGATTTAGAGGGGCAAAAGAGTTGATCTTATGATGGCCTGATGGCCTGATGGCCTTGAGGCTGGAGGCTCCTGAGCTTTTGCTGTGTTCCTTCTTTCGCGCCAAGGCCTGAGCGAGTCTCAGAAGAGGATCCTCATGGCCCTGCAGGCTCACGGCACTCACATCAATGTGCCTGTGTGGGATGGGTTGCAGTAATCATTTGCTAGGTGGCGACGTGTCGGTCATCCCAGCTCCTGCTGATCATCTGAAGAAGCTGCCGAACGGACGAAGGCTGGCGTTGTGAAAATGCTAGTTGCGCAAGTCGGGTGCGTCCAGCCAGGAGGGCTGCAGCTGCCGTGGCTTTGCGCCTTCGAGATTCCCCAAGACCTCCGGAGGACTGCAACAGTTTTGCAAGCATTGCAGGCATGATCTTCTCCTTGAAAATAGCCCCAGCCCGGGCTGCAGAGGAGTTACGTGGGGTTCGCGGCCATGAGGTTCACATTTATCCGTTGAAGGATGGTGCGAGGGTCCTACATCTGAAAGGCCAACTATGACCAACTAGACAAACTTCTTGGCCAGGAGAAGGCGGGGTAAACAACTGCAGGTGGTGGCGCGTCGTTGCTCTGCAAAGTGCTAGCTGCTAGGTCCAACCTCGTCCCGTTGGTCGCAGCCCCTCAGAGCATGCCTCAGAAGGTTGCAAAACACATTTGGTCATTGCCATGGGTCAATGTGCCACGGTTCCAACAGAACATTTGCATGAAAAGGTGCTGCTTGGGGCTGGGATTCAGGGTCGTACCGTATTGCGGTGCATCTGGTGAGGCCTCAAGGATTTTGTCAGTTTCTGGATGTCTTCTCATTCAGTGCGCGCATCATGAGTTTGTGGAAAGTTGTTTCTTGGGACAGGGAGCGACTGAAGCTTCGTGCGCATCAAACCATTCTGTATGCATGGTGGACCCTTTTCCCTATTCTTTGCTGGCCTCCCTGCCCAGCTTCCTTGTTCAGGGTTCAGGATGTGGCTTGGCTCAGGATGTAGGGTGTGAGGCTGCAACTTCCAGCTACTAGTCTGGAGTTTTAGATTAAGTGCTTAGGGCTGAGGATGTAGCATGGGTTTAAGTGGGCCCAGGGATGCTCAGGGTGGAAGAGAGTCTAGGGTTTCGAATGAGCGGCGTTTCAGATTGCGAGAGTGCGCATGTGGTTTAGGACCTACGGCAGGATGTAGGTTGATGTAGGGTCATTGATGCTTAGCCTGGATTTTTTGTTAAGATTAGGGTTTAGGATTTAGCGTTTCAATGCTTTTCATGGTAGGTTCCTTTTTGCAAAGACCAGTTGTCCCAGTGGGCTGTGGGGGCAAGGTTGAAGGGGAAGGGCAGGGTTTGTGGTGGAGGCCGGGGCTGCCAGGAAATGTAGTTTTCGGCGCTGTCACGACTCACGTAGGTCGGAGCCATTGACTGCCAGATCTCAGCGATAAGGCAGGTTGGAAGGCTGTAAGATCCTTCTTAACAGATTGGAAAGCTCTTCTCTATCCAGGCGGGCTCCATCATATTCTGGTTTAGCAAGTCGACCGATGCCACAGAGCCGAAGGCACAGGAGTCCAGCACAAGAGCAGAATGGACCAGATGTCCAAAATCTGCTTTGAGTCTCCCCGACTGACATGTGCTGTAGTGATTTCTAGCATGGGATGCGGCGTCAGGCCCGCTTTGGCCCCGCTGGAGAATCCTCCTGCGAATAGCCAGACTCTTGAACACTCAGGGCATGTCAGCAAGGTAAAAGGTCAGCACGTGTCAGCGCAAGTGCTGTAGGCTTCTGCTTGTAGGGACTAGGGACTGGGACTGGCTTCCACCAGGCCGGCCGCCCTCGGCTGACAGCGCTGGAACGCCTCCGATGTTCCTTGGCAGGGACATGACTCGTCCGTGCAATGAATCCCCGAATCAATTTGCACTGTCAGGCAAGTCGCGAAGGCAAATCTCGTGCCACAAGCCAAGCTAGATCGTAGCAGAGGGGAGGCCACACGCCAACCTATGCCAACCAACGGTGATGATCATTCAATTCGATCCATGAAGCAGCCTTAGCTTTGGAACTCAGGTGCGTCAGATGAGCCTTTTCGGCTTCTGACCCCGAATTAATGCACAGTTTACTTTGCTGCATTGCTCTTCACTGTACAGGCATGGCATAGGGCCGACTAGCAGAAGTCTGGCAGTCCTCACGCAGAGCAAGGGCCTTGATCGCGCAGGAGCGCAAATTGCAAGATGCGAGATGCCCAACCTGCACATTGCGTTGGACGTTTCGTCAACTGGGAGGAAAATGGAGGAAAATGCTCGAATGCAACTTTCTCACCACTGGCTTGTTTCCTGTGCTTGCTTTCTGATTGTCGAGATACTGTGAGACTCTCATTGCCAGCTCTCTTGTTTCTTGCAGCTTGCTTCAGCCACTGCTCAGCAATTTCCAAACGTGCTTCCACTCGTACCAGATTTTCATTTCACAGTGCTGAAACAAGACTTATAGACTGTACCGCGGACGATCACGTGGGCATGGCACCTGCGATTGGCGAAGATGCCAAACTTGTGATGGCCTTATCAGCACAAGTGTGAAAAGACCAGCTTGTTCAGCTTGCTGAGGCAACCTCCACACTCTACGAGGAGAATGTGCATTTTGGCACACACTTGGAGGTTTCCGTCATTTCCGTCTTGACGGCTGTCTCAGCCTGGGGTGGGAAGCTGCTTGGATCTGCTGTGCTCCTCAATGGTATAGGTCTGGGGGAGTTGGTACGACTTGGAGAACAAGTGTTGGGGACCATTCCTCAGAACCATTATCGCATGCTTCAGAACACATTGAGCTCAGCGGGTGTTGTCACATTGGTCGTTTGTTGTGGGGGGGTTTACTACCCAGGCTATGCATGCTGCAAGGGGACCCGGTCGCGTCAGAGACGCTGCCCAAAGACGGCCGAGACCTCAATCTCGAAATGACTGTTCCAGTCGAAGAAGAAGCAATTCAAGGAGTTGAGGAGGACTCGCAATGCGAAATCGGACACGTAGCAGAAAGAACGAAATTGGCTGTAATCCAGCATATGTGTCGCCCAGGCACCGCTTGCAGAAGGAGAAGCAGAGGATCCTATCATTGCCTTGCTCCGCCTGAGACCAGCAATTGCATGCCCCACAGGAGGAGGATGACTTGGAAGTCAAGGCACGAAGCTAAGCTGCTTTTTTTTGGCTTCCTATGCAGCGTTTCTTCAGGTCAGTCGCCGCCTGGCTGATCTCTTGGAGAAGAATCCTGCCTTCTGTGGAGACGTGCCAACTCCCGACCAGGCCAGGGTCATGATCTTGAAATCCTCATAAGCCCGTGACCCTATCTAAACCATTTCAAAATCTGAAAATCAAAGCACCAAAACCACAAACAAGTGAGACAATCATCAGATTTTTAAATTCATGTTGGTTGATGTGAGAAGGCTCCAGATTTTTCAGGCGTTCTAGGCTCAGTCGTTCGGCTTGTCTTAGGCTGCATCTTCAATTTCAAAGGAGCTGCGTTTCCCAATGCTTTGAGAACAGCATGCACGCTGTCATGCAGAGCTTTTTTTTCTCGCTGCGAGTAGCTGCAGTGTCTGTTGGCATCGTACGTGCTCCTCTGGACAGCCATAGATCTGGATGAGGGCACAAGCAGCAGCAAGCAGACTCTGAAATCTCTTCTTAATGATCTGCGATTTGACAAGCTTGAGCCAGACATGTCGGCAGCAAAGAGATCAAACTCAGCCCTTACATTGCTATGCGCTTTTCTGGTGATGCTTCTCGTCGATTCTGCTTTCTCGTGCGGTTGCAGAGCTTAAGCGGTCTCATTCAGGTCAGTAACTGTCAGGCTGTGTAATTCTTCTACGTCAAGTTGCCTGGGCTGCTGTAGAGGAAAAGGATTGGTCAGACGCGGAGTTGCGGAATTACATCCACAGCAACGGCCTCATTCGGCCAGCCAGGACTGCTTCAAAAGCCTGGTTCTTCGTGTTATTTCACCAGCAGCGGTCTCAATGCTGTCAGGACAAAGGGCCAGCAAAAGCCGGAGCCGACTGCTGCAGATTGGAAGGCACCCTCGACTCGCCATCAGCTACTTAGGTGAACAGTGTGTGTGTGTGTGTGTATATTGGCAGATTCTGGAGCTGGAGCCTGGAAGCGACCCAGCTCAGCTAAAGAAGGACGCTTTGCAGCTTGCTTTGGCCATGTTGAGACGCACCTAAAGCTGATGCTGTTGGCAGGCCTACAGGCGCTTGGCGTTACAGTTTCATCCTGACAAGCACCGGGGGGACAAAGACAAGGCGGGATGATTCCGCAATGTTTTTTTAGACTGGGGCCAGCAGTAGAATCACAAAGACAACCTACAGTTTTTTGGGATGCCAGGCTGCTGCAACGGAAAAATTTCGGAAAGTTGTTGCCGCATACGAGGCTGGTTGTGTTTCTTTGCAGGGCAAGGAGCATTTGCAATGACTAGCTAGGCCATCGCAGGGCATGTGGCAGAGATTCCAGCAGTGGCCGCAACGAGCTCCCTTGGCATTCAACCAGTTCTAAGTTGGATGAGAAGCAGCCAAGGCGAGATTCAGATTACATTCGCACCTAGGACTGATGGTGGCCAAAAGCGTCGCTGGCGGATTGTCGTGGTCGAATGACATTGCTTATGCTGCAAGCTTGCAGTGGAAAATCAAATTGCGATCACATCCCCCTAGATTTTAATCTGCACACCTAAAAGCAGTCAACTTGCCTGCTTATGATAGCGTTGACGGTGGTGATGACGATAGTGTTGTCGTTGGTGGTGGTGGTGATGATGATGACGATGACAACTGCTCTGATTGTGATAATGACGATGAAGATGATGCTCGCAATTATGGTATAGTTTCAGGCGGATGTTTCGCTGTGGTGGCTGAGAGTTTGCAGCTGGGGCCAAGCATGTTTTCCTCTCCTGTGCAAGAGACAAGCTTGGTCAGGCATGCTGCCTGTAGGCTACACGTTGGCTACATGCTGCTAGCGGGCCCCCTTCGGACCGCTCTCAAGAACAACGAGTCCAAGTGCTGCAAAGAAGCCTTGTGTATGACCATGCTGGGACAATGCAATAATGCAAATACAGTGTGCAGAAGGTCATCCTTTTTGGACCTACGAAGTGGTGGCGTTTTGCTAACGCGCCAGCACCAAGGCACGAGCTGTCTGACTTGGCGAACAGCTTAAGGAAGAAGGTCGAGAACAACAACACACACACACACATACACACACACACACACACACTTGATTTGGTTAAATGGAAATTGGAACTGCTTGAAGCTCAATTTCTTTCAGGGTTTTTTTGGGGGGAGGTAAGCCCTTAAGGGGTAAAGTATTGTCGTTGTCGTCTCGTCGTCGTCTTA